CAGTGAAGAAGAGAGGATGGATATGTCTCGAATATCGTATGCATCGGCAGTGAGAAGTTTAATGTTCACTATGATAAACACAAGACTAAACATTGCACAAGTAGTGGTGTAGGATCGAGTCATTCATTTCTGAACAACTTCCCAGTGGGTCACCCATCCCTAGATTTCCCTGGTCCAAACACGCTTAACTATAGCGTGCTGCGGGTGGGCCTAGGGGTTTCGTAAGGCATACGCGGGCCTCGGCAGATTGGACAGTCACGTATCGATATCGCGTCCATACACGATAGAATCCCTAAGGGTGATCGCTGGACCCCATAACCCAATAATTACCCCTAGAGACACCTGGGGGATTCAAACCTGCAACCTGCTCTGATACCAATTGTAGGATCGAGTCATTCATTTCTGAACAACTTCCCAATGGGTCACCCATCCCTGGATTTCCCTGGTCCAAGCAAGTTTAACTATAGAGTTCTGAAGCGAATGATCACCATTCCTTCTTAAAACCAATTGGTGATAAGTAGGTGGGCCATTTTAACCTCATATCTTTGTAGTGGGTGATCACTGGGTTCCCCTAAGCCAATGTGGATTCTTGTGGGGCACCCCCACAGTTCACCACGACATTGTAGAGCCCCGCATCTATAGCGTGTTGTGGGCGGGACTAGGGGCTTCGCAAGGCACACGTGGGCCTCGGCAGATTGGACATTCACGTACCGATATCGCTCCCATACACGATAGAATCCCTAAGGGTGATCGTTGGACCCAACAAGTGGGAGTGGTTAGTCAGTACATGGAGAATCCAAGCAAAGAGCATTGGAATATAATAAAGAGGCTTCTGAGATACATCAAAAGGACCTCAAATGTTGCATTATATTACAGAGGATTAAACTTACTTCTCAATGGATATGTCGATTCTGACTATGCAAGGGATTTGGATAAAAGCAAATCTACAACAGGATATGTGTTCAAAGTTGCTGGTGGAGCTGTAAGCTGGGTTTCTAAGTTGCAGTCAGTTGTAGCTACGTCCACAACAGAGGTAGAATATATAGCAGCTACACAAGCCAGTAAAGAAATAATTTGGTTGAAGATGTTATTAGAGGAGCTTGGGCACAATCAAGAGTATGTCTCTCTGTTTTGTGACAGTCAAAGCGCCTTCCATTTAGTAAGGAATCCAACATTTCATTCAAGGACAAAACACATACGAGTTTAGTACCATTTCATTTGTGAAAAGGTAGAAGAATGAAAGATAAATATGCAGAAAATCCATACTAAAGATAACATAGCAGATTTCATGACGAATGCGATCAACGCTGATAAATTTATTTGGTGTCGATCCTCTTGTGGCCTGGTAGAAACATAAGCAATATGAAGGTACAATGTAGAAAGAATGGTATGAATATATGATTGTTCTAATCAAATCTTCAAGTGAGAGATTATTGAAAGTCAAAATTCACAACTGCATTAATGGTCTTATTTTGCAGCAAATGGGGCGGCTGAATTCAAAGTTAGTTGTCAAAATTAGGCACATGAAATTGTTGAATTTCATGGATGGTAAAATTGTAGATTTAGTAATTGTACTTTAAGGTATTTACAAGTTTAGTCCTTAAGCTTCAACTATAAATACCCTAACTCATTTAGCTTCAAAATCAACCCAAATCATTCTAGCTTTCTCTCAATGCTAGAGAATTTAGAGAGTTTCTTGAGAGTTTTTTTTCTCTTTTTTGTCAAAAGAGAATTGTCATTGTTTTCTCCTTGGTAGATCAAGAAAAGTTGTAATTCATATTTTCTTATAGTGAAATTCTCCTACCGTTGCCTGTGGTTTTTACCCTATATTAATTAGGGGTTTTCCACGTAAAATTTATGTCTTCTTTATCTTCATTTTTATTTTCTCAAATTATCAGTTGCGATTTTGCTCTATCCGATAGCCGTATTCCGCAACAAAGTTCCCACTCACTGTAGTATGTACCTAGTGCATTGATTATAGCTTTACTCACATATTTTCTTATTATCACAAAATGTTTAGGCTTAAAAATCTCAAAAGGGAAAAATTGAAAACAATTATGCTTCTTACTTTAAAAGATTCTTGAAATCCTACTTTCGTAGAACACGCAAATCATCAAAAATAGCTTTGACCTGTCAAGACACTAGCAAAGTAAGTAATGACAAGTTTCATGGAAGGTAAGACTAGAAATATTAAAAAGATAATCACCTATTCTGAGGTAGAACTGTGATCCTTAATAGGCAATGAAGCTGGATCCTCAAAGGTTATGGTAGTAACCAAACCAAAGATTTCAAGAGGAGAATCAGACCAAATGAAGTCAGCAGCAGTAGACATCTTCTTCGAGATTGTCTCCCCATTTTCATACCTGTGGTCGGCATGTATTTAGAAACAAAGTAAACACTTGAAAATATTTACCAAAATATGAACAAAGTAGTTACATTGTTGTATGATAAACGGAAAACTTACCCAACATAATGTCTCTTTTGTTTACTTACCCTAAGTACATCAATCACCTACATCAAGCACATATAGAAAGGAAAAAGATGAGAATAAATACAATCAATGGGGTAAAGGAGAGAGTTCGAAACATAAAATGAAACAAAAACCTTCTTTTGTGGTTCTATTAATCCCTAAAATAGATGCTTAAAGTCAAGCAGTCGTGGATCAATCTTTACAGGGGCTTTATACCTTAGCCCCAAAACATAAATCTCAGATGATGCTGAACGACTAACAGTAGGTTTATCAACTTCAACCTTCTCAAACAACTACAAACCAAAAACATGTCAAGCTAAAAACATAACTTTACAGAGAGTCTCTACAGTTCTGTTTATTGTTTATCACCTGTTTGAGATAATATAGAACGGAACTGTAATCTTGAGACCCAAATATGAATCAAGTTCAGACTTCACACGCGGTACAAATGTTTCTCCACTAAAAACGTCTTGCAAAAGCTCATACAAACCACTAGATGTAACATCACCTCCATGAAAATCCATAGATAAAATACTTGTTTTTGTTCTCCGAGGATGCAAGGGGATGGGAAAAGCATAAAGATAAAAGCAACAAGAAGCAAGAATCGATCATCAGCTATCATCGAGAGAAAAACTAGAAAACACACATCAAAGGAAACGAAAGACACAAAACCAAAAAAAACAGTAACCAACCAGGAAAAACTAGAAACTACGAGCCATCAGGAACAACCAAGCAACAAGGTCAAAAACAAGAAAAATCAACATTAATAATCCATCATCAACCAAAGAACCCACCATCGAGCAAAACAGAAAACTTACTTTTCTAACCCATAACCTATCGTCGCCTTCGCTAGGAACCACGTTCTCATCTAAGAAAAGGTAAACCCTTCATCTTTTACGATTTTCCAATCATGTATGTGGGATTCAAACCACATGTTTTAGGGATTTGAGGGGGTTTCTAGGTTAGTCGTTGGGGTTTGTGGGAAGAGGAAAGGTTCAGTAAGTTTGGGTTTCTTGCCTAGGCCAGTGAGGGCTATTCATCGGATCCTGTTGGAACGGAGAAGGCCGCGGTGGTCGTTGTCTGGCAGGGCTATGGGGTGGTGAAGCTGGGTATTTGCGAGGGTATTATGGGTTTAAGTTTAAGGTTTAGGGATGTTTTTTATGAAGGTTGTCACTGGAATCTGTTTAGGTGAAATTTAAGCTCCACATCGGAGCACTAGGCGGTTGAAGCCACGAAGGCTGTGGGTCTCTGTTAGGGTTTGTTGAGTTAATTGATTGACGGAATCGGCCAAGAGGGGGGTGAATTGGCAATTAAAATTTTGTGGAAGCTTTTGCAGAAAATTGAAAGTAATTGCACAGCGATTTAGAGTGGTTCGACTTTATCAACCAAAGTCTACTTCCACTACCTTAGCTATCCACACTAAGGATTTTCCAACAAATTCACTAATTTGCTCTTTCTTTTGAGGCCAAAGAGATAACCTTACAACTCCCTCAAGAATATACCCCAATTCTTGAGAACACTCTTTTCTCAAAAAGAAGATTACAAATTTGCAAACTCACAAGAAAAACCTCACAAGGCAAATATGTTTGCACAATTTTAGAAAAAAGAAAGAACACTCAAGAATAAATACAATTGAGCACAATAAGTGTTCTTGAAAGCAAAATGAATATTGAATGAAAAATATGCTTGAAATGCTCAAACTTGAGGTTTGATGCATACATCCGTAAGTAACTTAGTGCAACTACGGCTACCTTTTTACGACTTCACCCCAGTCGAAGACCCCACCGTGGTATGCGCCAATAAGACCACCAAAAGACTTTGTGGCACTAGTGGTACACAGAAGTCATGGGTGATCATTGGTCCGATGCTTCGGGCGAAACCAATTCCCAGGGTGTGATGGGCGGTGTGTACAGGGCCCGGGTACATATTCACCGCGGCATGCTGATCCGCGATTACTAACGATTCCAACTTCATGTTCCCGAGTTGCAGAGAACAATCCGAACTGAGGCAATCTTTCCGGATTCGCTCCACCTTACAGCCTTGCTTCCCATTGTAATTGCCATTGTAGCACGTGTGTGGCCCAGCCCATAAGGGCCATGCGGACTTGACGTCATCCCCACCTTCCTCCAGTATATCACTGGCAGTCCCTCGTGAGTGTGGCACACACCTTTTTGTTTGTTTCGGAGCCGTTTTGGCGAGGCGTACTAAACCTACTACGTACCACACCACCGGGTGGCTCGCCTGAATGCCGAGTCTTTCTCCGCCGCCAACTCGACGTCGTCGTCACCTGCAAGATAAGGCCAAAAACTTGACTTTACTAAACAAGCGAGAAAAGAAAGCCCTTTCTATGTTATTAGTAAAGCGCGCTAGCAGCAATCAAACTAAAGCGCACACTAGAAAGGGCTTTCGAAAGGCGCCGGCTCCTTTCTTACTGACAGCACAGCTATGTGCTGGCACTCAATTAGTAGCGCTGGCACGTCACTCGGCTCCTCGGCTCACTTCAGTTGCAAAGACTTTCTCCTTATGCGCATGTCTCAACAACACAAAACGAGGGTTTCGCTCGTTATAGGACTTGACCAAACATCTCACGACACGAGCTGACGACAGCCATGCAGCACCTGTATGAAAGTCAGTACCATCCCGTTAAGGCACTAAGGATTTTCCTACAAATTCACTAATTTGTTCTTTCTTTTGAGGCCAAAGAGATAGCCTTACAACTCCCTCAAGAATATACCCCAATTCTTGAGAACACTCTTTTCTCAAAGAGAAGATTACAAATTTGCAAACTCGCAAGAAAAACCTCACAAGGTAAATATGTTTGCACAATTCTAGAACAAAGAAAGAACACTCAAGAATATATACAATTGAGCACAATAAGTGTTCTTGAAAGCAAAATGAATATTGAATGAAAAATAGGCTTGAAATGCTCAAACTTGAGGTTTGATGCTTTCTCTTTGATTCTCTCTTGATTCTAGTTGCTTGATGTTTCTTGTTATTAATCAATGGCTTCTAAGCTTGCTTAAATACACCTTGAATCACTTCTGAACGTTGGGGATCATTAATGAAGTTATTGTAGCCGTTTAAGTGTGAAAACAATTAATATTTCTGCTTGGAGCGTGGGGGGAATCGGTTCCCTAAGTGTAAAATTCAAATATTTCAATCGGTGAACAGTGGGGGGAATCGGTACCCCTGGAGGGAATCGGTTCCCTCCGAGCATACTGGAATTCTCGGAGCCAAACCATTCAGGGGGAATCGGTACCCCCTTGGGGGGAATCGGTTCCCTCTGAGCAATCTGGAATTTTTTGCTTTGAAATGGTTCGAAATATTTTGTAAAATCGTTTTGAAATTATTTTAAGATTAAAACTTAATTTTACACTTGAGTAAGGATTTAAAATGATCTTTGAAATACTTTGAGTAATATTTTGATATTCGATTTAATATATCGAATATGCTTAGAAAAATCTTTTTCAAAATTAAAATTCTTTTAATTTAATTTGTTATATCGAAACATCAAAATGTTTTCAACAGGGTTGAGCGAGGAAAAATGATAGAAGGTAGGGAGATGAGAGAGCGACAGGTTGTGTCTCGTTGAGGAGAGATGAGGAAATGATTTAGGTTAAGCGTTTCACCCTAATCTTCCTATATATTCCAGCGACCAAAACGAAATAGCTTTAAGTAGTACCAAAATGGCAGCACTTTGAGGACTAGGGGTAGCCCATGTTTTAGAAATGGAATATTAGCATTTTAGGACCTGCTATATTTGTAATCTCCTGATTTCGTCATTAATCAAGGTTTACGTTTTTATGATTCGAGTTGTTAATTTATTTTTATTTTATGTTTTGATCACCGTTTGTTTTGATAATAGACCTATTGATTGATTTGACCAAGTGTGATTTATTAGTTTATTTACATATAAACCCTTGTTAATTTCAATAATTTCATTTTGCATAATTTGTATGTTACCTTCATGTGCATAACTTAACCCTATCATATAATCAAATTAAGGGTTTAGGGTTTAATGTTTAATGTTTAGGGCTTATGGTTTAAGGTTTAGGGTTTATGGTGTAATCTAAAATGTGTTTAATTAAACGGGTTTTTATTTTTCTTTTAGTAATATACAATGTAACAATTGGACTTGAGCTGGTTAATTAAAAAAATTAAAATTTGAGGATAGTTGTATTATAGAATTTTTAATATATTTTTAAAATTTTATAATTATCAATGATGTATTTTTAATAATTTTTTTATAATGTAATTTTAAAAAATCTAAAATTATAATATTATTTTTTTTTCGAGCTGCTCACGAGCTTTTCGAGTTGAATATCGAATAGCTCGTTTCGGCTCGTTAAGAACTCGAGTCGAGCTCGAGCTTGAGTCGAGTCCATTCAATCCGAGTATTTATCGAGCCTTGATCGAGTCGATCTCGAATAAATCGCAATCTATCTCGTCTCATTTACAACTCTACCTCTACCTAAAAAAAGACAATACGCAGAACGACAACACAATGTTCTAAACCGGGGGCAGTATGACGATGAACGAAGCTACACCATACTCTTCCATTTCGCCCTCGACACAACGCATCTGTCTCAAGTTCAACCAAGCAAATAATCTGATTAATATATAACACCAACAGATTTATTGCACGTGCCTAAGATAAAAAACGTTAGGACAACGCATAAAATCTAGAATATTTGTGATTGATGAAGGCCATTTACTGTGACACCAATAGCCAGCCCTCAGCACAAACAATTTACTTTTTCAACAGGCTTTTTTTTTTGTTAAAAACAACATAATTTCTATTAATCCATATAGACCACATAATCTCGAAAAAATCCATACTCCAAATTGATTTAACAACTTTTTTGATCGGTTGACTGTCCCACACACAAAGCAGACTTTTAACATTGCCTGGAACGACGAGCTTAATGGTCCAGAGTAGACACCACCATCTTTGTCATACACGACAAGCCGCCTCACACTGACAGAACAAATAGTAAACAGTTTCCTGGTCTTCACTGCAAAACACACAAAACAGAGAATCCAGGTTTGCGTGCCCACATTTGGCTAGTTCCACTAACGAAGGAATTCTTGATATGCTTTTCGAACGCACTGCATACTTGTTTTGGCCTCAACTTCTTTAACTACAAACCCAACTTTTTTATCAGAATTGTCCAAACTGAATTTAGAACATTTCCGGATATGTTTTTCGAACGCACTGCATACTTGCTTTGGGTCCATCATCATTCTGTCCCCCACTCTGATTTCTGAAATATAATTTTCCTTCCTCTAATAAATGCAGTGAGATGGAAAATTTTGGAACTCCCATCTCCTTCTTTGAACCAATTAAGTCTTGATTTTTGCAACAACTCTCTTCTATTCTATCTCTCTCATAATCTACATTTGAGAGTACGAATCTCTATTGTAACCACACTATTGCAGTTCGACACCACGGTAGTGGCTTCTAAAGCTTCAATTTGCCTTTCTAAATCCAAAATAGATTCTGGCTCGCCTAAATTCTTTTCTTTAGCCTACAATTTTGAAGCATGCTTTATATAAATCAAGAATGTTTCATATCATTTCCCTTTGCATCTAACACTCACCGATTGAACCAATTTAGAGTAGCCTTTGTCGTCAGTCCAGTGCGAAGACCATTTGAATGAACTTTTGAGTTGAGACTCTTTTTCTTCATTTAAAAGTACGCAGTTATGATCTGATAGACTTTTCGGCAGAGATGACTGTTTTAAGTTTGGAATACTTGCTAATAACTCGGGCGAGATTAGAAACCTGTCAAATGTACAAGCCTTGATAGAATTGCCTCCTCTAATCCAAGTATAAAGGCTCTTTGCTAATGGTAAATCAATCAGGCCCCCTGTTCTTTATGAACTCGACAAATTTCTCCATAGAACTCACGTTTTTCCTCTACTTTTTTGACAGTGTTAAAGTCACCCCCAATTATAACTGGTAAGCCAGCTTCCTTAATCAACTTATCAGGCTAGTTGAAGAACTCAATTCTTTCACGATAGCTATTCGACACATATACATTTATAATCAGAATGTTCAGTTTCAAACAACATAAATGACCTCCCAATGCCAAAAACCTGTTATTCAGAGTTTTCTTATTAGCCCTGAGAAATTTAGAATCTGACATAGCTATCAATCCTCCTAACGCTCCCTCAGAAGGTACGAAAGATAACTCTTCATATCCATAAATTCTCCCTTTAAGACGCTTCATTAAACTGTAGTTGATGAACGCTAACTTCGACTCTCAAATTAAACCATCTTTGCTTTGTATTTCGAAATAACTCTATTCATCGCTCTCACATATTCCGTCTTACCCATCCCTCTCACGTTCCAGAGTAAGATTGAAAATTTCATATAAAATGTTTAAAAATGCACAAATAAGAACACGCGCACCTGAGGTTTCAGCTTCCAGCTTTGTCCTCGTGATTCTCTAATCTCTTCCTGACCGTCTAGTCAGAAGTCTTCAACTCGAAACCTAGAGATTTTCCAACAGCAAAGGTTTCAACGGCTTCTGGGTCAATCTCCTGTCATTCAATCGCAACTGAATACGGTGGTATTTGTGCATCTGAAGAAATTTCCAAGGTTCTAGCAGAAAATAATTGCTCATATTTTCGATTTGTCTCTCCCTTTCCCTTTAATACTTTGTTTGTTCTTTTGTTTTTGATTACTCTTCCTCCTCTTTGTTGACGCTGATGCTACGTTTGATCTCATATTTAGACTTGTCTCTTGCATGGGATCAACTCTATTATACCCACAAGCATTCGAATTTTGCAAAAACTATGTCATCACAACAGGAGAAGAAACTTCTAAATTGTCAACCACCTCAATTGGAATTCTTTGGAACCTGATTCAATTCAACCCAGTATAATCCAAACTGTTCCATATTTGTTACCCATTGTTACTCGAATCTCCACATCCAACCCAATCATCGCAGTGCGATGACCCACTACCCGAGCGCATTGGGACCTCATGGAGCCCATCAGTACAAGAAAAACTTTGATCCACAATTCTTCAATTTTTTTCAGCCACGTGGGCATAAGTGGCGGATCCAGAAATTTATAAGTAGGGTCCAAAATTTTAATTTTCTTCTCTTAAAAATAATGAGAGTGCAAAAAAAATTTCTTCCATTTTTCTTTAACATATTATACTAAATTTCACTTTTTTCCTAAATAATGGGGATGCACTTGACCCCTAGGGGGCTTAGTGCATCCACCCCTGGTGGGCATGCATATCATACACATTCTTCTCATTCTAACACGCAACACTGTTATCCGTAGTGTTAACAAGGTTTTTTCGGTCTGACACGCAGCCATGTCATTCGTCCTCATTAACTTCTACTAGATATTCTAGAAATTCAATCGCCTCATATAGGTCTTCTCTACGCTGGCTATCTATCAGAGTAAAACCATCGATGAAGATTAGATCGTCTTCGAATTTTTCAGTGTGTATCTTGATCGATGAGTAGCATCCCTTAACGATAATTAAAACTCTGTTAGGGATAATTGACTCCTTTTGTATTGCCACCAACACTCATGCTGCATCAATGCACTTACATTTACTAGTTTCTTCGTCGATTTTTAGCACCATCCCCCAACGACTTATGAGATCATGAAAAAACTCATCATTACAAACTTGTAAAGGGACATCACAAAAGACTACCCAGATTTTTATCCTCATTTTGCCATCAAAACCCTCCAACATCTTCGGCTCTTAAAACCACATGTTGATCAATTCAGTTCTTCTTCTCCAACACATTAAGAGTTCTACCTTGTTTTTAAATCGTATCACTGCTAGTAGCCCAAACCAAGTGCGCCCATCTCCGATTTTAGAATATAAATGGGTGTTCTGCTTGGATCCAATTGTTCAACTGGCTTTAATGAAAGCTCATTCACCAACTTTACATGTAGTATATTTTCATAATAATGAATACACTTTTCATTATTCTATTTCTTTCATGCTTGGGACGACACGACTGGATATTATCCCTATGAGCAATTCTTTGAAAGATCTAGTATCCTTCAAAAAATGATCGTTGTCTCAAAGCTTTGACCTCGCTTCTTGTTTCCTTCTATACATTATTCATGACCTTATTATCTCTGAACACCCTGTTGGAAACTTCGACGATCCCAACACACCCACTATAAAGGACCTAAAATATATCACTCACACTACAATAACACACGTTGGTTAGCCTTTTATCTTTTAATTTTTTAGTGCACAATAATACTTAGGCGACAAGACCGACCATATATCATTCAGGCGGTATAACCGACCATATATCAATTAGGTGACAGAGTCGACCATATAATAGAACTAACATAAGTGCACTAAGAATTTAAAAACAATTAAGGCTTAACTGAGAAACTTAAGAGAAAAACAACTTTTATTGATACAAAATAAAATTATAATATTATCGAGTTACCCTACTACTTTACTATTCTCTACCTCTAAAGCTCTCTTTCTCTAGCTCACACTTTTGGTACCCTTTTCTCACATTTTCACTTTTACTACAATGGTAAAAAAAACTCACCCTATTTATAGTTTCTAGTGGTCATTAGATTGTTGACACATGTGAACATCTTAGCCATTTAACATTAAAAATATCTAGATTCTTCTAATAAATAATTCTAGATATAATATTAAATAATACAAATATCTAAATTTTTCCATGGATATTTCTACACATTTATCATTTCCATATTATTCTAGAATATTAGTAATATATATATATATATATATATAGTATATAGTACACACACTAAATGACATCACTACAGCAAAACAATTATATATCGGCGTGTTGGGAGTAAACGTCACTAAATTTAAATATATAGTGGCGTTTAAACCCCAAACGCCACAAAATGATACCTTTAGTGGCGTTTTTATAAAATGCCGCGACAGAGTAGTACTTAGTGGGTTTTTATAAAAATGTCGCAATAGGGTCATGTATAATGGCGTTTTTTGACAAACACCGCTAAAGAGTAATATTGTAGCGACGTTTTTATAAAAATGCCGCAATAGTATCATGTATAGTGTTTTTTTGACAAACACCACTAAAGAATAATACTATAGCGGCGTTTTTATATAAACTCCGCTATAGACTTGATTTTAGTGACATTTTTTTACAAACGCCGCAAGTTTTTAGTTTCTAAGCCCCAGTCCCTTTTAACCTTTTTCATTTTTTCCCCTTAACCTTTAGTTGCTGCAGCTTCTCGTTTGGGCATTTTGTTGGAGAAAGTTGTTCGAGTTATCAGTAAATCCCGCCGTTAAATCAAACCCATCTGCCTCCGACGCAGCTGTCAACGACAAAGAGTCAGCCGTTGATCCATTCCTGGTCGAGGCTCTTCAAAATCCTCATCATCGTCTTACCAGTAATTTCTTTTCCTTTTCTATTGGATCTCTTTATAACTACGTTGATGAACATGTTTTCCCCTTTTATGCGATTTAAATTTCTGGTGTCTTCGTCCTAGGGCTGAATTTCAAAATATCAGTCAGTAAACCATCAATATCATTTCTGGATTCGAGCTTTAGGGTTCGACTGGTTGAATCCAGGTCGTGGCAGTAATTTGACGTTTTACATACGATGAAGGGAATAACCTCCGCGATTCCTGCTTTGATTCTACCGTTCCCTGGTATTCTCTTCCATTTTCCTTTTCTAAACTGCCCATTACGTGTTTCCTTTCAAGTTTTTCCACAGCTTCTGTTGAAAATGTGAATATGGGTATGTCTAAACCCACCCATCTGGAGACATTGGTCATAGATAAGTGTAAATCGAGATCCTTTGAGCTTGATGAAGCTCTGGGGTTTTTTTCAATTTCATGATTTTAATGAGAAACTTGCCCTCAATTAGGAACTGATTTTAGGGAGCATGATTTAGTTATGTTTTTTATTTTATTTTCATGAATTTTCAATAAAAATATAACCTTTTTTTCGTTTCCATGACATTGAATTTCGATATACGGGGGAACTGTAAATTCTAAAACACAGTGGTAGAATGTTGGATTTCCAAAAGAAGGGAATTCTTTTTCTTTTTTTTTTCTGGGTTTGACAAACATGGATCTAGTAGGACTGGAAGTCAAAGTGTCAAACAAACGGTATGCTTTATCAAATGGAATTCCATGAGAGCCTAAGCCTGGTCTTAGCTGATTTATTTAAGAATTTGTCTTTGATTTGATCTTATTCGAATGCCACCCATGCTAAAATTAGCTCTACGGTTTAAAATGGGACTAAAAATTCGAACGAGAGCTGATAAAGAGAAGAGAAAAGGGGGAATTTATAGGCCGTTGGAACTTTGGATTATGAGTCCTTAACGTATGAACTAGTTCGACAGATTTAACTATTGGTTCTCTTACCGGTCAGTAGCTGTTTTGGGTCCATAATGAAGAATTTTGTAGATATTTCACCATTTGTTCCAGGAAAAAAAGTAGGAAAGAACAATGAAGCTTCGTGCTCTTCCTTTTCTGGCAATCAGATAAGAGATGTGGGTGGTTTCTGTTAATTTTTGATAAAGTGTTTGATTTGGAAATGTAATACAATGATAGATTCTGTACATTTAGCATTGGCTTTGTAGAGCAGTGCTAGGCATCCTTTTCCTGCTCACTATACAGAGAACATATAAATACAAAGAAGATATTGAAGTGGAGGAAAGTAAGTGTGGGTTACCTTTTATCGCATTTCTTGTATGTTGAGAAACTCAAAGAATAAATAAAGGAAATAACACTTTAATCATCTATTATTAGTTCCAAATTCGAAGCCTGCCTATACCATGCATGGATTCACCAAAAAAGAGTGAGTCAGTTTGTGTGGTTAATTCTTATATATAATTTTTGAGTTCATGGTATTTGTGTAGTTGAGGATCCCATCAACTGATCAGCTTTAAATTTTTATGCTCTCAACTAGTTGTCAACACCTAATGAGAAATCTCAGTTTGACATAGCCTTTTCTGTCTCCGATGTCAAGGATAAGTATAAGGTACGAGATGTTTTGCTTGTTGTATATTATTATGTTCTTGAACCTTAACATATTCTAAGGATTTTTTTTATTTAGAGCTCAAATGTTTCCATCATAGTTGCAAACTTTTCTGGCTTTCTTGTTTGTATCTTTTTCTGTGCTTTAGGATGCTGCTTTAGAACCAAAATGGAAGGCATTCCAGACAGTTATATTTCTTGAGCGGGTAAGATGCCAATCATAATACAGTTGACAAATGAAGGAAGGAAAACTTTAATGCTTTCATGATAGTGGATGCTGAAGTTTAATAATTGGTCTAACCTTGCAGAATCTATCTATTTTTATTTATTTTAATATTTATGTCCTTCACTTTCATCATTTTATTTATTTGATTTTTTGGGGCATATCCAGATTCTTCTTTCATGGTTGTATATTCTGAAGTTTAATAATTGCTGCTTTTGATTTTGATGGTTGTCTGGCTAACACGTCTGTTAAAAGGTAATTTGTTTGCAGTTTTCTTTGCATTTAGTTATGGTTGTTCTACATTCTTACATCCGACATTGCATAAATTTGGCATGTACTGGCATTGGATGAATAAAGTAAATGCTTGCTTTTCTATCAGTTGATTTCACATCGTTGTTAAATGAGATTTTTGAGTTCAACTAGTTTTGTTCTATGACATTCACTTGCATGCTCGTATTTTAACTTATTTTTGGTTCTGAACGATGTTAAACTCCTTTGAACATTTTTCCCTCCCATGCATTCTAATTGATCCAATGGAGTACAGTTCAACATAACTGCCTTACTCGGAATAGGAATTAGAGGTTTAGGAGGCACGGGGAATAAAGGGAAAATGGTTGTTTTGCTGACGAGTGTAGGAATGGCCATATGCCACCTTGTTATCCCCATCATAAGAGATCTGCTTTAAGTGCCAAATTGAAGTAGCTGCTCACTTGTTTGAATTGATAAATATATTTGTCTTTCAGAGTTGGTGCAGATACTTGGTCCCTTATGTATCCTTCAATACCAGAGAAGCTGCAAAGTCTTTATGAAGAGGGCTTTAAGCTGGTTTTGTTTCGTGTTCTGAAAGCTTTTTTATTGTTTATTTTCTAAGAAACTATAATTGCAGTGCATTTTATCCGTTTTCTTATTATGGCTTTGGTTTGTGCAATATTTAGGTAATCTTTACAAACGAATCCAATGTGCTGCTTAAAGTTTCCAGCTAAAAAGCAATTATGGGATTGATGGGGACAGTCCAGGCTTTGAGGTCTCCTGGGATCTTTGAATACATTAAGTAAAACAACTTGTTAGGTATCATTCTCGGATGTCTGAAAAAGTTCCATGGTCACTTTACAGTACATGATGCTATCTGAACAATGAAGTATAAAATCACCATGTAAAGATGGAAACATTTTTTAATTGCCTGTATAATGTGTCTAAAGTGCTCCACAATAATGTGAAAATATCATGAATTTGAAAAGTCTTCACTCCGTTATACATGTGCAGGTTTTTATAGCTTGCGGAATAGGCAGTTCTGGTGGTAAAGCAGATGATCTTTCCGCAAACCAAATACTGGGATGTGGCACATCATGGAGAAAAATTTCAATTCTGGCATTCCAATTGATATGGATCAGTTATTTTTCTGTCTTCATTATATTGTTTCACTATTCTGTCAAACTACAATACATTTAACTTTAATGTTTATAAATTTTAATTTATTTTGTTGTTTAAATTTATGGTTGATGTTAATTAGATAAAGCTACAGCTTATTAAATTTAGGTGATGTAGAGAAGAAATGAAATATGCAAAATATAAATTAATCTTAGAACAAGAATGGTAATTAGCGGCGTTTGCATCTAAAAACGCCGCTATAGATCTGAAATTTTGCGGCGTTTACACTGCTATATATCTCGACTTTCTGCAGAGTTTGTTCCAAAAACGCCGCTATAGATCTAACCTTTTGCGGTATTTGCTCCAAAAACGCTGCTATAGATCTCAACCTTTTGCGGCGTTTTCTCTAAAAATACCGCTATAGATCTCGACCTATTGCGGCATTTGTTCCAATAGCACTACTATAGATCTCAACCTATTGCGGCGTTTGTTCCAAAAATGTCGCTATAGATCTAGACATATTGCGACTTTTTTCCCCAAACGCCGCTAAAGAACAATTTTGTTGTAGTGCATATGTAATTCTTGAGGATTTGCATTGTTTTCTAACACACTCTAATACTAAACTCGTCAATTCGTCTTCATTATCCCCTTTCCTCTTCTCGAATAGCTTCAGACAACTTACTAAATCTAATGAAACCAAATGTTGGCAAACTTCCAGCCCTTTTTGGATTACCATACGCAATAAACACATCTAAAACTTTCCTGTACTCACAAAAGATTTCTCTCAATGCTTGTCGATGAACTCAATTGCTAAGCTAATAAAAAAAGACTGTATGCTCCATATTGCCTCATTCTTCAGTATTCTTCAACGGAGACAAACCTTTTTTGCCCCTTCAACGCTAATATCCACCGATCTTCTCCTTCGCCATGACCTTTCCCCTTCCCATGCTTTTTACATTTTGTTTGATTTTATATATGCTGATAACTGTCGTAATATTTTTTAACGAATTTAAAATTAAAAACAATTATGACTTTATTTTAAAAAATTTAAATTTAAATTTTATTCAAAATTTAGAGTCGCCATTGACCTTTGGGTTAGGTAGGTCGAATACCTAAAAATGTATTTTTAAAAATTTTTAGAAAAATCATTTAAAAAGATAAAATTGGCATGCGTTTACCAGAGATTCATTTTAAAGGGTTTGGGAGTCGATTACGCGTGGGGAATGGTAAGCACCCCCACAACGCCAAAAATTGGTACTTCTCGATTATATGTTGTCTAAAATGGTGGAATTTTACGAATTTGAATTTAAAACTTAAATTACGATCATTTTATTTCTATGAAGTTAAAAAATGAGTGAAACTCTTTTTGAAAAATAATTGACTCGATGAAATTGATTTAATTCACTCGAATTTTATTAAAAAAAAGATATCCCCTTTACTACATGGATTGACGGAAATTAAAATCCATTTATGTTGGACGTAATTTTGTTAACCCATGACGCGAGACAACATTGCCTTTAATTGTTTTAAAAACGATAAATCAAATGCATGATTTAAGAATGCAACAATAATAAATAACATATATAGACTGCATGAAATATTCACGTATCATGGAAAATAAATAAGTAAAATAAAAAAACAATGAATATTTATTTATTAAAATGATTTTACTATACATAAATATGAAAAAGTCAACTTATACATTTGTTTAAGGTGAGATAAATATGTTTAATTGATTTAATATATTAAAAAAGTAAAATAAGCAATAAAATAATATTATTAAAATTACTTTATTCAAATAACACTCGGAAGGCCACTCCATGTTTTTGGAGGTCTTTCGTGAGTTAGTCGAACACTGAAGACTTTATAAATGTTAAAAATACATCTAAAAATATAATATATATCTACATAAAATTCTTTTTTTAATATATAATATATGTATAATGAATACTATATATATTCTGCTTAATATATATTATAAAAAAGATAATAATAAATAAATAAATAAATCATGCAAAAATGTTTAGGGACCAACACATAATAAATAAACAAAACAAGGACTAATTTAGAATAGATAAAAATACAAAGGCCTATTAAAGCAATAATTCATATTATCTCAAACTAAAACAGGGATTAGATCTAATACAAGCAAAAACAGAAGGACTTAAAACACAAATAAGCAATTTTCCATTATGTAAACATAAAGGACTAAAATAGAGAATCTATAAAGTACAAGCCCATATAAACTAAGTGCGAGAAGCATGAAGCATAAATTTTCATTAAGTGACCAAAATGGAATGCTTACAAAACTCGGATGACCACGAAAGCTATTAGCCCACTTGCTGAATTCTGGAAATCATATCCACTAAACGACATCATTTTACCGAGTGCATATAAACACCTTTTTATTAATTTTTTCATTTATTTTCTTTCTTTCTTTTTTTCTCATTCTTCACATTCTCTTTATTTTCCAACTCTCGTCGGCCACCGCCTTCACCATTGGCAGTGGATTTTCGAGCCCAAATATCACAAGGAGCCTTGTCTTGACGTCGGGATAATGAATATGGGATCTAAACCGCCAAGAGTGGCCTCATAACGCACAAAATAGAGAAAATTAGTTTGACTTTCTCACCTCCGATCCATCGCCGTTCAACTTTGGATGGAGCCCAAACGAAAGTATGCTACTCCCCTCACCAGTGCACACCTCCTCACCTTCCGGATATGCGAGCTGGCCCTTCGAACACCTACGAGTGACTCGATTGAAGGTGAACCCCTTTTTTATTTCATTTTTGTCATTTTCTCTCCTTCGTTTTTTTCCCTTCGAGTCTCTCTCTTCTTCTGCTTCCTTTTTTTATCTCTTCTCCTCTTTCTTTTTTAGTTGTTGCATTCTATATAAATGAATGGTGAAATGTTTTGGGAGATATTTGGTGAGAATTGCTGGCAGAGGTGTAGCCGGTTGGCGAGAGTTTGGTTGGATTTGGCAGTGGGGAGTTTGGTTGGATTTGATTATTTTTTTCTGATTTTATGGTTGGTTTCTTGGACTGCTTTTGATCTTTTTGATTTGATTTGAAATAGGTATGATTTAGCATCATCGATATTGGTGTGGTATCACTGACAGCGGTTGGAGGCTCCTCGATAGTGGGCAGTGGCTGATGGCAGTGGCGGGAAGAGTGTAAAGGTTTAGTTTTAGGGTTAGCTAGGGTTTTGGATTGGGCTAAGACTAGTTTGGGTCTCGGTTGGGCTTGTTGAGTTGTAATTGGGCCAATAGTTGGATCCAATGGTTTGTAGTATTGGGTTGATCTAATAATAATAATAATAATAATAATAATAATAATAATAATCATAAAAGGTCAGACGAAAATTGGATACTGTAGCTACACCTCTTTTCCCATTGGTGTGAAGACATGAATAGGCCAAAGACAACAAGGTAACAATTTTTGTACGGTCGCATTTCTTTCTTTGGAATTTGATGTTGGAAACGACACTGCTTATCCACATTGAAGAAATCTGGCCACTTTTGTGTGATCTGCTATTGAAGATGACATTGTTCCTTCTCATTGAGGAAGTCGGGTCAATCGAAGATAATTTTGTGTTGAAAGCGACATTGCTCACCCATGTTAAAGAGATCTGGCCGATTTTTTGTGAATGCTTGACTTCTCTACATGAAAAAGTCAGATTGAAGATGACATCACTAAAAAGTTGACTCATCTCCATGAGAAAGTTAAGAATGACATCATTAAAATGTTAACTCCTCTTCACAAGAAAGTCAAGAAAGACATCACTAAAAGATTGTCTCCTCTTCACGAGAAAGTCAAGAATGACATCACTAAAAGGTTGACTCCTCTTTGCGAAAAAGTTAAGAATGATAACACTAAGAGATTGATTCTTTTTTGCGAGAAAGTCAGGAATGACAATACTAAAAGATTAATTCCTCTTCAGGAGAAAGTCAAGAATTACATCACTAGAAGGTTGATTTCTCTTCGTGAGAAAGTCAAGAATGACAACACTAAAAGAGTGACTCCTCCTCGCGAGAAAGTCAAGAATGACAGCACTAAAAGATTGACTGCTCTTCACGAGAAAGTCAAGAAAGACATCACTAAAAGATTGACTCCTCTTCACGAGAAAGTTAAGAAGAACATCACTAAAAGATTGACTCCTCTTTACAAGAAAGTCAAGAATTATATCACTAAAAGATTGACTCGTCTTCACGAGAAAGTCAAGAATGACATCACCAAAAAATTGACTCATCTTCGTGAGAAAGTCAAGTTGAGGTTTCTAAGGAAACATTCCTAAGAAGGACTAAAACAAATTTATGGAGAAACAGTCCTAAGAAGGAATCTAACGAATTTCTAGAGAAACGATCCTAAGAATGACTAAAATGAATTTCTAGAGAAACAAGCCTAAGAAAGACTCAAATAAATTTCTAGAAAAACAATCCTAGGAATGACTAACATGAATTTCTATACGATCCTAAGAAAGCCAAAATGGTTTCTCAAAATATATTTTACAACCATCCTCATGAGAGGGAAATCAAATTTTATCATTTTTGTATGAAATATGAATGTATGATGCAAAGATGCAAATTCATGTAAATTGTATGAATGCATGTTTTCTTGTGGTGGGCAAGGTTGCATGAGAAGTCTTCATTCTACCCTTGATTTAGTTGTCATCACTCTTTCTTTGCACCAACATGCATCCTTGCAATTCTTGACTTGTGGACGAACGCATCTTGTCCCAGTAAATTTTGCCCCAAAATTGTCATATTTTATTATCCCAATTCTGATAATGAGCTTATGATGGAGAGACATGTGTCGATCTTCAAGATCTACTCCAGAGAGGTTATCTTGTTTGAAATGTTTTTCTTCCTCTTTATGTTTTTCAAAAGGTGAAAAGGTTTGACGAAAATGTTTTGAAAATGTTTTAAGAAAGAATTTTGAAAAATGTTTAAGAAATGTTGCCCTTACTTTGGGTTCACAATTGAGACAAATTATAAAACAAAAGTTCACTCTCGCTTTGCTTGAAAGTATCTTGTTTTTAGAAATACATGTATGACTAGAAAGGATTTTTTAGGCACGTAATATGTGCCACGATTCATGTTTATGAAAGAAAGAGATAAATAAGCCCAAACACGTGTTTAAAGGTGATCGAACCAATGATTAATTTATTTTGATGTCTTCACTCTCGCTTTGCTTGATTGGAATATGTTTTCACATGCTCTTCACTTTTCTTTTTTTGGGTCCATCATCATTGTGTCCCCCCACTCTGATTTCTAAAATATAATTTTTTTTTCCTTTAATAATTACAGTGAGCTAGAAAAATTTGGAACTCCTATCTCCTTCTTTGAACCAATTAAGTCTTGATTTTTGCAACCACTCTATTATATTCTATATCTCTCTCATAATCTACATTTGAGAGTACGAATCTCTATTGTAACCACACTATTACAGTTCGACACCAAGATAGTGGCTTCTAAAGCTTCAATTTACCTTTCCAAATCCAAAATAGATTATGGCTCGCCTAAATTCTTTTCTTTAGTCCACAATTTTGAAGCATGCTTTGTATAAATCAAGAATATTTCAAATTATTTCCCTTTTGCATCTAA